AGTTTTTGTTATTTGGTTCCAGTTATTTGAATCGCAACCAAAAATGGCTCCACAGCATGTAAACATATAATATAAGCTCTGGCGGACTTGGTTCTATGGTAGGTCTTAAAGGGTTAAGGGGTCGTGCTTCTGAATGAGAGTTTATGCTCCAAACTGCTCCAGTTTTTGTTATTTGGTTCCAGTTATTTGAATCGTGCTTGTCAAGGCCACATCTACTTCCAAAACGTTATTATACTGGAGCCGAAAAGTTTGAAGACTTTACATGCTGTGATTTGGGATCTGTTGAAAAAGTTTCCTGCATGCACACAGACTTTTCTGTCAATATACAAAGAGGGCAGAACTGGAGAGCTATAGGCAGGCACAGATCATGTAAATATTGACTGAATATTAAACAATAGGCTTACTTCTCAGTGAAACAAGGGAGAGGAAATGAGTAGAGAGAAATCACAGCATTTGGCTAAGCTCACACTGGTAAGCAGACGGAAGAAACCAGTCACGGGAAGAACAATCGGACATTTGTAACGTTATAATAATACGGATAAAAAAAGATAATATGAAGATATTTTACTTGCTGACAGCGTGTTGAGAACAGTGTTTGCAGGTGGTGAAGGACACTGACCGGTGCGGTCGTGGTGGCGGGCGTGCTGTTGTCAGTGCCGGCCGGCTCGCTGTGCGTCTGTGTGGGCGTGTAGAGGGTCATGGCGTGCTCGGGCACCCGGCTCTGCCCGGTGTAGTCCTGCGTCGGGAGCGGGTGAGGTGCCGCAAACTCTGCGGGAATGCCATTCTGTGGGGGAGGCGGGTACTGGGCTGGGGTGTACGGCTGGGCCATCGCTTCTGGGGGGTTGGTGGCCTCTTGGTTACCCTGTGGAAAAACGCACAGCAGGAGGCGGGCGTTAGAACTACGGTTAAAATTAAACTTAAAGTAGGTTGTTTGACTTGTAAAACCAGCATGAAAGAAGCGCAAAGATCCCTGGTGTGATGTGGAAGGCAACCGGGGGGAGATGTCCTGCACACCAACTAAGTCAGGGGGAAACAGCCATCATATCACATCTCAGCTCATATTAGAGGAATCCTTGATCTTCTCTAATGAACACAGTTTATGTTGTAGAGCATGGCTTGCTGTTGGAGGGGCAAGAGTCATGGGGAATCTCAATTGCACTTGTGGCAAAGCACAGGAGGAAAGATCAATTAATTGATAAAATTTTGATTAGGGCCTTTGATTTCAATGACAGGTCTGTTAAACCAGCAGCTGCTCCCTCTCCAAGCTCCACTTTCATACTTTTTTGCTTTATGAGCTCTCCTGCTCTTCGCCACCCCCGTCTTTGTTTCCGGTTATCGCGTGGACTTTTTTAAAGAGTTTTAGAAAGATTACTTTTCTCTAATTCTGTTTCTGCCGCCTTGAAATTTCAGATTCACCCAGTTTTATTTTCGAGGCTCGCACAGCCTCCGGCTAAATAAACGGAATAAATCTGCAAAAATCTTCTTTAAATTACGAAAAATCGTGAGCAGAGAAAAACAATGTGAACAAGCATTTGTTTGCACCTTTTTGTACTTTTAGTCAGTACAGACATGTCTCTGTCAGTAGTGTTTTTCATAAACTGTAGATAAAAGATGGATGTAGTTACCTGTGACACCGACTGTTTTACTGTTTGGTAATACTTATATCACAGCCCACAGGGTGTAATTCCCCTGTAATTAAATAGAATTTCAGAGTATTTTATTTGAAAATGCAATAAAATTATTACCTATACCAATACTGAAAGATATTGATACTAAAATAAGACACCGAGTCAGAATTTTACAGTAAAAGAAGAAATAAATATATTGTAAGTAATTTTAGATTAAACAGATTAAACCTTTTTATATCTTTATTTAATTTTCTTCATGATAATGTGCACGACCAAAGCTTTATTTGACTAATATAAATGTGACCGTTCTCCTTTACCAGCTTACAATACAAAAATAAACACTATAAAAATTTGCAGGCCTACAGTATGTGAGCTCATAATTATGAGCCAGGTGGAAGTTTCTTTTCTTTCACAGTCACTGTTCGAACATAACTTTGAAAAACAGCGTCTGAAGAGTACAGTATACTTTACATGTAAGATAGTACTGTTATAGTATTGTTTGTTTTTCTGCAAAATTACAGACACATTACACAGTATTTAATATTACTTACAGTATAACTGTGCCTCCTTCCCCTCAGGCGATACTTAAATTTACTAACAAACTGCTAACAGGATAGTTCTTTCTCTGCTGTAGAAATCTGACTTGTTACCCTCCGGTGCACCTGCCTTTAAGGATGGCTACACAAATATGTAATTTTAAATAAAATACCTTGAAATTCAGTTTTTAATACAGGGTACTTACAGTCTTTGTAATTTAAGGTGTTACCTACTGTTTTATGAGCATTTCTTCTGTTGGTTGTGGTTTTTTGAAACTGGACATCACAAGCTATGAGTGGATCTGACTGAGAAACCAAGACCTCTGCACTCTCGTACAGTAGCTACACGTGAATCACCCAATTGGCCAACCTCAAAGCAGACTGATTTATTGCTGCATATCAATAAAATGGGAAGAACGCAGGTTTCTGGCATTTTTCAGACCCAGAAACAACCTTATGTTATGTATGTTCTACATCTACTCAACACCCAATGAACACGCTCATGTCGAGACCTGGATGTCGATGCTTTGTCTTTAAAAGACAAAAAAAAAGGAAATTTCACTGAATAATCTCATGCACTGAAATCCACAAATAAAGGTTATCACTTTGAGTTTTTAGACAGCTGCACGTTGCAAGACAGTTGCACGGCACACCTGCATTAAATGCAAGCCTGAGTTTGTACTCTATGATCATAAAACAATTGCAGCAACACTAAAAACTGATGTAGGCCTACGTTTTCTCAACTGACCACAAACTAATAAGAGAATTTCTGAGGAACTGGACCGAGAATCGATTACGTCTGTGTTTGTGAAGTCTTACAAAGGTAAGGCTGAGCCAGCTGAGTCCGATGGAGATATACTCATATATATATATAAAGTTGCAGAGCCCTGTCACTAGCAGCACGTGCCCTTTGTATAACTCTGATCCATCCATATGCTTCCTGCTCGGTTTGCGCTGCGTTCCACGTGTATTTTGTAGTCTCTGCTCCTGACTTAAGTGATAGATGGCTCTTTGCAATGAAGCAGTTTCACAGACCCTTTGTCTCGTATGGATGCTTGAGATGATGAGCTGCAGAAATAATGGACTTTTCTGGCTGGTGCACATTGTTAAACTCGGTAATGGCTGGACTACAGAAGTGCGTGTCTTATTGTTACGAAGCACCGAGGTCTGCGAATCCAGACTAATGAGCAGAACGGTGAGATCAGTGCTGCTGGAGCGGATATCCATCCCAACATTAAAAAACACAGAGGGAAAAGGTGAGACAATAACGCCGAAATCCAATAACACCCCCTGCAAATACCCTCAATCAAATTTAAAGATACAGATCATGCGAGCTCGACGCATAAGTCTCTCGATAAGAAAGGAGGCAAAAAAAGCAGCAGAAGTAAGTCTTTGTGATTGGAGAAAAACAATAACGGTAAACAGATCGAGAAGTTTCGGTCTCTTTCTTGACAAGCTGACTAGGGATGGTGTGATGGTAGATAAATGTGTTTTCTTCTTCCTTGCTGCTCGGCCTCCTTCTGTAGATTTCCAAAGAAAACCTATCCGGGCAGGAGGAGCCTGCAGTTTTAATGAGAGAGCCGAGCAACACTATGCTGTAAATGTAGTGGAAATAATTCTGCTCTGACGTGTTGGCAAACAAACCCCGGCCTAAACTGCGCTCTGCCAATTAAGGAAATGCTCCATTATCTAAATGAAAAAAGAGAGAAGCCTTGAGAGAGCCGAAGGATTGACCAGCCTCCTGCAGCCTGCCGGGCCCAAAGGCTGCTCCCGCTGCAGGAGCGAACCCTCACTCCTGCCTGACCTAATCCCCCCTTCTCTTTTTCATTACGCTATATTTCTATCTCCTCTGTCTCTCCCTCGATCCCCCACCCCTCCCCCCCTCTCCCTTTTATGCTCATCTCTTCCTCCCTCCTCTCTTTTTATGCAGAAAGTTTTTTAATCTCTACCCCTGTGCTCTACTTTTCCTCTCCCTCCAGTCATGGCATTATATAACACACTTGCATTGCAGGGCATCCTAATTCAAGGAAGCTCTTGATGTTGGCAATTTTCAACTTCTAAGCACCCATTTTAAAGGAGAATGGGGTTGGTTACCTAAAAAATAAAAAAAAGAGGATGCACCTCCTGGTATGACAGCTGAATGTACCACCAGATCCTCTGTCCTCCTTTTAACCAGCCCGTGCAAGCTGTCGACACGTCAACAGTCCGGCAGAGACAGGAAGCTCGGAAACAAGGAGGTGCTGTGTTTGTACATCAAACGCCGTCCGTGTCATTAAAGGGATCAAAGCTTCGGCTTTTATTTTAGCCACTGTCGGGACAGATCCTGATCTGTGTTTTTAAGAATTTACCAAGTGCAATTTAAGCGATCGGGAAAGCGTCGTCGTGTAAAGATTAGATCCACGACTTAAGGACAAATCTTTGCTCCTGTTTTTTCTTTTGTAGGAAACCTCATTATGCTCCTTGGGTTACTTGTGCTTTAATCCAGTATATGGTGGCACCTTTAGGCTGTTAGAATAAAACACCGAGTCCTCATTAGTTTTCAATGAGATGCCTGCATTGGCACAGGAGAGGCTGCAGCAATATGCAGAGGCATGCGGCAAAAAGGTTGTGCCACACTACAATGCAGCGCCACGCTCGCTAAATCGCAGCCGATCGGGTGTTTGCACCGGATCACATTTTGTTTGTTTGTTTTTCAGAGTAATTGCAATGATTGCAGAAACTTTAAGAGAGGCCACAGTTTGGTGCTTATGAACGAGCGCGGTCAGCAAAATGAAAGAAATACCAAATCCCAAAAAAACTCAAGTCAAGAAGACTCCAGGAAGTAGGCGTGTCCTCGACAGAAGCTTTCATGAATGTAGATGAGCTCAGGTCGGAGTCCACTGGGAACGTTTAGGAACATATTCCAGCTGAATGTGTGCACGAGAGCACAAGGAAGGAGAGGAAGCGCTCATTATCCCAAGCGAACCGCATCATCTGTCAAACATGGCGGCGATGCACGCAAACAAATCCTTACAGGTCTGACTGCGTTACCCAAACTCCCCCCCACTGATGCTACGTTCCTTAGGTCCCCCACGTGAACAGGTGGGTTCTCTTAATTTACTATTAGTTGATCGATAAAGCAAGAAAAATGACGCTCTACACGCTGAAAAGAAAATTGAAGATAAAAAATATTGTTGTTCTTGTCTGCCATTAATAACAATTAAATGCCAATCCAGCAGAGTGGTACACGCAGCAGCGTCCTGGAAGCCTGGAAACAAATTACATTCAGCTTAAACCGTTTAGGTAACTACGCTGGAACGAACATGACAGAGTGCTTAAGATTTGGAAAGTCGGTGTTTCTTAAAGTGATATTCTGAATGTAGGCAAATCACTTTGTGCGGACTATGGCATTAATCAGCAGGTGGTGCTGACTGTATTTCTACAGCTTATTTGCTGCGGATCCTCCTGCTCCTGAAATAAAACTCTTCCTTAACGACATGACATTTTTTTAAAGTTCAGTGTACTCTTTCTGCGAGAGGAGCTTCTGGTTTTAGTTTCTTGTTTGTTATTTCCTTGACAGTTCCTAAGTTTAGGGACATTTGTTTTTTCCCTTTCTCGCGCTTTAGCGTTAGCCGCGACACGTTCCGCTAAACTTGTTAAACTATCATCTGCCTTAAAGTGCTCCTCTGAGCTGGGGACACAATCTGAATCGTTGCATT